GAAGGCCAACGCAATCTTGAGGAAAGATCATGTCATAGCGAGAACCTGGGAAGCTCTGTAAGAAATGAAGTTGATCTTGGTGAAGGAGCCAAACAGTCACGGTGTTCGGGTCATACTGAGCAACATGGAAATGAAGAGGTCGTTCTGGCTGAAGAACAAAAGGATCCACATCGGGGTCTCGCCGGTGTGATACCGGCAGATTCCAACCACGCGGACTGAAGTTGGTCAAACTGACTGCTCTGTGTGCAGTTCCAAGTCGTCGCATGCTAGCTGTTTGACCTTGACCTGTAGTCAACAAGTTGTTCTTCAAGTCGATCGTGGCCTCGATGTGTTCCAAGAAGCTGACTGGAAGAAGTGGCGGAGTCTGAAACTGGTCATCATCTTGCAACACGGTGAACCGCAAAACCGCGTTCACCTGGGCGACTCCAACAGGCACTTCCAGCTGCTTCACAACTTTGGCCTCTCCGCCAACTCCTCCAGCTGAAGGAAGTGGCGAGTTTCCCTGCACAGGGATGCACTTCAAGTTCCTCTGCCTCAGGCTCTTCTCCAGCTCTTGTAGTGCCGTAGTGCCGATCACAGCCTCTTCAGCGGCGGTGTCAACAAGGGCCTCATCTGCATAGCACTGAACACCAGCAAAGATCGTCAGCCGGCGTGGCGGACTGCTTGAAGAAGAACCCATGGCCATCATGAACTGCATTGCAGGTACTCCAGGGGCTGTTTGTCCTCCAGTGTGAACCACAAACTGCTGTCTTGGAGGGCTGCTGCTGGCATCAGCTCGTTGAGACAAAGGGCAATTCTTAGCGAAGTGTCCAAGCTCATTGCAGTTCCAGCAGCGTGTCCTGCTCTCCAAGTCTTCTTCATTCCCTTTCCATGAGCGACTGGATGACTGTTTCCTCTTGGACTTTCCTTTGCCTCGACCCTTGACAAAAGGTCGTCGGACTCCTTTCTTGCCTCCTTTGGAACGACCAGGATCTCGACCATGTTTCACATAGCCTCTTTCTGTTTTGCGCTTCTGCAACTCACGTCGGGCGTCACGGTAGGCCAAATGATAAGCCTTGAGCTCAATGGCCTCCGTCTCCTGGTACTCACGATCCTCCATGTAGAACAGGCAGTTCCCATTCTCATCACAAGAGGCGGACTCATCGCCATCTTCATGTGGCCAACTCTCAAGATCCATAGGATCACCTTCCGTCTCATTGTCCTCCTCGTTCTCAGGGTTGTCCGGGTAGTAGTCCTGATAGTAGTCGGACGTGATCATGTAGTTCCTTGAGCTGGAGGGCTCTTGAGCTCTGGCCAACATCTCTGGTCGGTCAAGAGGTCGCAGAAGGTTGGCGATCTCATCAAATGGACGAAGCATGGGACCTCTCAACAGGAGCATCTCTCTCTGTAGGTCGTTCAAGTTGGCATGCTTCAAGAGGATCCGGCCACATAGTCGGTCATTGATGACCTCCCCAAGCTGCAGTTCCATTTCTTGCTTGGCCAGTGTCTTGGCCGCGATGTAGGAAGTGAAGCTTTCACCTTTCTGTCTCTCTCCATCGAACAGGAACTTGTCGATCGCCTGAGGTGCAGTGGCTTCCAAGAACGGAGCGTACTTCTGGTGAAGGGCACCCAAGATCGCTCCATAGCCATTGGCTGAGAGCAGCACCTCAGTTGGAATCGTGTCAGCGATTCTCCTTGGCTGGGAACCTTCAGGAAAGGACTGTAGCAACTTAATGCCTCTCTTCTCAACCGGGACATTTGATTCATACTCCCATAGTGCAATGAGCTTCAGCCATGATCTCAAAGTCGATGGTGAACCATTCCATGAAGGCAGCGTCTTGCGCTCTCCAGCTAGGGCCTGATTCAAGGCACTTGCGATCAACTGCTCAGGGGTCTGTGCACTTGTAGGCACAGCTGCATTCGTTGGGGCTGACTTACCCAACATGGAAAAAGCGCTCGTCGGCGAAGTCGTCGAAGCGTCATTGGGCTGGGCACCTTGGCTACCTAAGGCACTTGCAAAGGCCGCAGCGGAGAACTGTGGTGCATGCTGTGGTGCACCTCCGGGTGAACTCTGGGGTTGTGGCTGCTGCTGCATCTGCGGCATCGTCTGTGACGTTCCAGCCGCTGCAGGCTGCATCTGCGGCATCGTCTGTGACGTTCCAGCCGCTGCAGTAGGGCTCGTAGGCCATGTCGTCGATGGCCAGGTCGTAGACCATGGAAACCTAGCAGCCGGGCCAGTGGGCACACTCCAACCAGGGTTCCTTAAGGAAGCATCGGCCGAGGGTGTCCACCTTGCCCATGGGTCTCCGCCCTTCATCCAAGGCACCGAAGGTCGTCAAGGTACCTGAAGGTCGTCTTGCAGGAACCAACCTGCTCCGCCTACCACTGTAAAAGGCAGGAGTTCGGGGAAACTTCCGGAATGCTAACAAGCAAACGGCATGGCTCTTTTCCAATGCGCACCCAAGTGACTCAAGGCCTGAACCCGATGGCAACAGTCGGATCTAAAGCATCTCATGAATGTTCACACCTTCATCATAGTAGTAGTAGTAGTAGTAGTAGTAAGAAGCTACTAGTAACAAGGGCATCGCTACTCAGCTACTCGGGTGGAGGCTATCGCTATAAGGTTTTTTCTTCATCTCTTTTCTTGCTTTTTGGATGAATGAAGATCAACCCCCTCTCACCTCTCTGCCTGTCCCAAATTCCACTGGGGTCAGGGATGTCACGTTTAGGAGGTGCTCGGCGGTGCTCCAATCACCCATCCCTTTTGAACATTTTAACAAAACAATATAATTAACAAAATTCTAGCTTCTGAAAGCAACATTAAAACCGTCTATGTTTGGCATCAGTCGGCGATGTTTGCCAAGAAACGCGATCGTGCTCCAATCTATAAAATCTAAGAATCTAGTCAATCTAGTCTCAAAATTTCCCTTCACCAGTCTTGGCCACCAAACATCTGGGGGCCTTTACAAGCAGAATAGGAAACCAAGGAAATCATGGAAGCTTTCTTTGATCTTCTAGGTTGTTTTCTGCAAGAATAGGACCTGGAGTAGCTAAGAAACTGGTTCCCAGAAATGGGCGATCCCGAAGAAACTTGCGCGTTCACTGTTTTGAGCGTAGGTTCGCCACATTCTCAAGCCCGAAAGCATTTCCAACGTGCATTCCAATTGAACAACACTGTACTTGTGTTGAGCTGAATTTAAGGTTGGCATTGCAGATGAGCAAAACATATGAAAATAAATAGGACCGATGCTGTTGAGAAAAAATACTACAGTATATAAAAAAATAGAACGAAACACTGGAAGAAAATAGGGCCTGCTTATGGTCTCATGTTTGATCCTGCGTTTTTGCTATTTTTTGTTCTAGTTGAATATGTTAATCATGTTCTGACTTTTTCATCTGTTTGTCCTATTGTTTGATATTACTGTCGATGTGTTTGCTAAATGTGCAGATTGAACAAACAGTGTGCACATTTAGATAAAAACACATTGAAAAGCAATCGTTCTTTTTTGGTTCTATGATATGTGTGTTTCCTGTTATTGTTGTTCCTAGCTTTTCCTAGTTTGGATGCGATTTAGTTCCTAGTTTTTACTAATCTATATAACTGTATATTTTGATCACACCCAGTGGAAGCTTAACTTCCTCAACTATATACAACTCCTTCACCCAAACTCCGATCAGTTCAGCTGAGACTCCCAAAAGTCCTTGGCCAAGGCTTGTCCTCGGATCTGAACAGAACATGTCCCATCTGTCTGCGCAAACCAAAATCTGAGGCAGGAGGCAGCTCAATCTGCTGCAAGCCCATGAACGCTAATAGGAGCAAAGAGCAATGCTACTAGGAACAAGGACGCTACTAGGTCTCCTGGCCTTACTACTAGGAGCAAGAAGCTACTAGGAGCAAAGGGCAGCGCTACTAGGAACAAGGACGCGGCCCTCCTGCACTACCAAAGATCGCTTTTTTAAGCGAGAATCTCCACGAGGCCATGCGTGAGGGAAAGGTCAAGGCTGACTGGAGTTTTGCCTTGGCCATTTCGCAGGCTTCGCGAGAAGAAAGATTAAAGTTACTTAAAGTTGAATGTGAAATGGCACAGTCACAAAACGATCTGGAATAGTTCCGCAAGATTCACTGAAATACCGTCTAGAAGTACTCGAATAAAAGGGTAACCTACATTGCCTACATTGGTTAGTAAATTTGGCCTTTTCCAAGATCATCCGTCAAAGAACTATGGCTTTACTGGGTCACTCTGTGTTCAAAGGTGGACCTGTCGGGTGTCAAGTTGCATAGACATGGTCGCCACCTAGCACTGCGATCTTGACATATCCGGAGTTCCTGAATTGGAGCAATCACGAATCACGAGCACTAAGTCACTAGTGAGAAATAACGATATAATGCGATATATATAGTTACATGTAAAAGTAATAGTTGTAGCCACAGTCCACAGTTGTTTTCTCTGACTTGAATAGACATCACTATAGTATTTCCACTAGTTACTACTTCCCCTATGCCTTCCATGACTAGGTTTCAGGACACTGGGTGCTGGAAAGCGACAGAATAATGTTGTCCAAGTCATAGTAATTCTTTGCTTGGACCTGAGCTGCTGAGCGCTTTCTGGAATTACAAGGTTCTGAAACCAAAGAAGATAGATACTGAGTGCCACGCTTCCACATTTACAACCTGTACAAAACATGATCAGAACACTTCATAGCAAAGAGATTGTGTTTCAGCTGGTTGCTGCATCCGCAACTGTACAACGCGTTTTTGCTGAAGGCTGTACAATGCGAGCCTGAATATCGAATTCATCAAAAGGGAAATCTCGGAAGATCTCAACCTGCCATGTCAAGTTTCCCTAAACATCTTGAAACCAGATCATTAGTGTCAGCGCTTCTTCCAGGAAGCTTCCCCCGCCGCCCTGAGAGCTTCCTTGAAGAAGAGTGAGCTATCCTGCGTCCTAAGTAGCTACCTCTAGCTAACCTACCTCTACTCGGCCTAATACCCGCCACCCAATAAAACCGTTACCAAAAATCATCAAAACTCAAGAATGGGGACTTCATTTTGCATACCGTGACCACCTCTGCAGCTTCCGCGTCCACAGACCTTGAAGCATCAATTCTGTCCCGTTTGGCGCTCTTTCAGTAAGTAGTGTCCTTGCTCCTAGTAGCGAACCTTGTTCCTAGTAAGTCCTCCCTGGGCATTCGGGCAGAAAGTCCACCACGTTGGGCCGTGCGAGATTTTGAGATCGCAAGATCTCCTCCAGTGTCCGGCATTCCTTGCGGGATAGGTTGGCAGCAAGCTGGATGAGGCAGCTGGGATGATTTGGCCTAGTTGCCGCTGACAACTCGAAATCCAAATTAGTTGCAACACCCTGTTGCATGACGTCGCATGCCCAGCGGTGCCCTGCTTTTTCGCAGCCATGTTTTGGCCTGACCAGACCTTGCCCTTGCCGCAAGTTCTCAGATTTCACGGGTTCGCGGTTCGCTTAGCCAAGGGACGGCCACAAACTCAGGCCTTTTGCCACCGCCTGTGATTTTCACAGCACCACCTCAAGAAAGAAAGCAAGTTCGACAAACCCAAGCAAGGCAAAGTGCTTCTCATGCTGTGGATTGTCCAATGGCCAAGAGACTGGAACCCATATCTTGCACCCCATCTTCGGCCTCGTCCTCACGGATGTATGCCTGTGACTTCAAGCTTCGCTAAATTTTGGGTCAATATGGTTAATGTGGAACTATCATATCTACCATTTGACCTTTCTGTCTTCCTTTCACCACGAAAATTACTAGGTCCGGTTAGGACCTTCCCCACCTCGATCGGATCCTTCTGGAAGGACATGACCACCTGCAAGTGAACTCCTACACACAGAGAATCAGCAGCACACACGGGCCACTATGGTTCCAGGCCCGCCGCGGATGGCTCCAAACACCTTGGCATGGCACGTGAAGGTCTTATCACCGCACCTGTCTTAAGAAAACAACATATACAGCGTTTGAGAACATATTCGCACGAAACACAAGTTTAGAGTTGAGAAATGTTGCCTTGCTTTTGACACAGCTGCCAAGGGGCAATTCTTGACCAGCTCGCAAGAAGGCCTTGGGCACAGCAACTTAGTCACAAGTCTCCAGCAATTTCTAAAAGAACATCTTGGAATTCGGTGCAACGAGCAAAATGCAGCGAAAAAAGTTTAGCCAAGCCAAAAAAGACGTCATCGACACACAACCCGCATGCCAGCAGGTTGCCCAGCCTGTAAGCTTGGAAGTAGGAGTGCATCGATGGGTTGGGTTCGACGCATAGACCGCCTCAGTGGGGGATCTAGTCCATTAAGGGGACCCGGTAGAAGTACTGATGTGTTCTTGCAGCTGGCAACTTGCAAAACGACAACCAAGTGCATCGCTACTAGTAACAGGTGCCTTACTAGTAGTAACAAGAAGCTACTAGGAACAAGTGCCTGGCCTTACTACTAGTAACAAGTGCATCTACATTATCCTACATCAAGAGACGAGTGTTTTTTATTAGTCTGACGATTGGCATTCCCGTGCTTTCAAGCTACGCCATCCCAAACAGCGCTCGAAGAAGTAGGTATTGGAGAGATGAATGGGATGGAAGGCACCCACATCCACAAACCTCAAGTGACAAATTTGGAGCCTGCGAAATCGTCTCCTTTTTTGAGCGGACTTCTTGTGGAGTTCTGCCCGTTGCGACGGATCGTCTCCGCAAGATCAATCAGTCCGGCTACTCATACTGAAATGAGTTGTATTGGAAGTCAGAGATGTATGTTACGTTACGTAATGTAATGTAGTGTAGTGTAATGTAATGTAATGTTATGTAATGTTACCTACCTACGTACGTACGTACGTACCGTACCATACCGTACCGTACCTTACCTTACCGTACCGTACCGTACGTAGGTAGGTAGGTAGGTAGGTAATTATGTATGTATGCATGCATGTATGTGTGTTTGTGTGTTTTGTGTGTGTATGTATAATTGAGAAATTTTGTGTGCACCATGTCTACTTTTACATACGCAATCTTTGCTTGTCACGTGGCACTCCTTGCCGGTCTCCTCGAGAAGCATTTCCTGGAAACACACAGCTTACACTCAAATAGCCGCAGAAACACGTGGCTCAAACAAAACGCATCCATTCAGTTGATATGCATCCTGTCCAAGACTGGGAAACAGCATCGCACCAAACTGTGCCAGGGGGCCACCAACATCAAGGCTGGAGCCCAGAAAAAAGTTCTTGTATACGAACCAATCCTGCCTGAATGCTCGGCAAATGTGAATGTTGCATCAAGTTGCATGCTCGGCAGATATAACAACATCCACTGCAAGCCACGGAGCTGCCACTGCGAGGCATCACTTTGGGCAGAAGCAGAATTGATGATCCCATCGCAATCAATCCTCAACAAAGGTCGCTGAGCGTCGAGATGCCTCTCTGTCTCGATGATTCCTTCATGTCCTGTGTAAGAGTAAAACCTATGCTGATGAGTGAAGAGGACCGGTCAAAACAGCAGGTAAATCATGAAGGTCTAGGGAAAGGATCCATCCCAAACAACAAACTCACTGGCCCTTGAAATCCCGTTGGCCCAAAACTGATGGTTGTTGCTAAATGAGATGTGCAGCGTAGCAGTGTCGCCCCCATGAAGAATGACCGCCACTCAGGGCAACCACCAGCCGAACAAACAGAGTGTGCACCATGGCACGAGGGCATGTTCACGTTCAGCAAGGCCTGCCATTCTCTGGATGCTTTTCAAAAATGACAAGGCCAAAAGAAAAAGTGCATGAATGATGCACACTCCTCTCTTCCACGAGATCTCAGTTCAGCAATGCCCTCAGCACGCCTCTGGTGTGACAGCCTCAAACGATTGGCCACCGGCGGAACTGTGGCAGAAATAGCTTGGCTCTTGAGCACCAAAATTTTGGAGATCAGCTGAACTTCCAACAACTGGCCGAGGGCCACATAGCCCCATGGCCCGTCTACCTGGTGTGTCTACTTGACACCCAAATTGAGCCAATTGCTATCTTCACCACTTTGGACTTGGCATGATTTGGTATGATTTGGTCGTCACATGGTGCCGCCAAGTTGCTGCGCCGCAGAAATGCCGCCCACACCTCTGGTGATGCTAGGTTGACATGTCTCCAGTTTCGCTTCATCACGGCTTGTATTCGGCTCCGGAGATTGGATTTTAAGATACTGCTTCGAGTCGACTGTAGTATGCTCACCTAAACCTAAGCCCCTCGACGAATATCAATTTCACTTCTGTAATGGACGGAGGGATGACATCCTCTCTCAACCTGGGCTTAACCCTCATCGCATAATTAAGTTGCGTGGAGGTACACCCCACCCTCCCTACACATTGGCCAATCGTATACGGGCCTTCGAAAAGCACTGCCTGTGTTCATGGAACATCACTTTTGGGGAACACCACACCACCACCCCTGACGTGCAGCTCCGCAACGATGCGGCCGCTCCGGCCACGTCTCCCCAAGCTGTCTGGAGGGAACGGCAGCCGTGGTCTCCTGGCCGCTTGGTGGGTGACCTGGGGCGTGAGCCCTAAAATAAGGACGTGTTCAGATGCTCATCCTCAAAGAACACCGACCAAAATGGGGGGAAGTTCCCTGTCTAGCCAGAATATGTCGCCGTCAAGGTAGTAAATATACACGCAATTCAAGGTGTTGGGTTTGGTGCAAAGCCGTTTTCTGTGTTGCTTCCAGTTTTGCGCCGCCAGTCGTCCTGCGGAATTGAAATAAATTATGATCAGGCTGAATGAAGATCTGATGGGCAATGGAAGACGCCAAAACGAATGAGTTCTGTGTGGATCAACACAATAGCGGTGCTTTCCTCAGACCTTCACTTGCCCTCCTCCACGGCCCCCAAAAGGGAGCCAACACATTCATCTCATGTAGAGTGGACCTCTCCTTGGACCACTGCTAGGTCAAAAGAAAGATGCAGCTGGATGCCGTGATGGCCACCGGACATATCAAAGTCTTTGTCACCCTGGAATGCTTCCAGCAGTCTCCGATCTGGCTGGATGGCAGGATGGGCAGAATTTCCGCACCGAGGACTGCTGACCGACTCTGCTTGTTGCAAGAACTGTTCTTGTCCGATGCTTCGTAGTGGGAACTGGCATCCATCTATATAGGTTGGATTTAGTGGCTAGCATTGGCTGTGATAAGTAACGCGGAAGTGCATTAGAAGCATAATGGATCTGCCACGAATTGGAAAACTGCCCTGGACAAGGCCCGAGGAGGATTGCTGTACATGCCCACGCCAATGGCAGCTATGTGCTTTTACCCACCGACCAACTCCTTTGTGAGACGATCGGCCTTCAACGAAAGCCCGCATGTTGCTGAAAAACAAAATGTCTCCCCAACACCTCTGGATTGGCTCAAGTCCTTTGGGGGTGTATCCGAATACCTTCGAAGTTTGAGTCAAAGCTGCAACCAAAAAAAGTGTCATCATGCGCCCCTTGAGGGCGTGATGCAACAGTTGCAAAGCTGATTGCTTGCCCCCCCGCACATCATGCATGTCTTAGCACATCTTGTCGTGGTCTTGTATGGTCTTGTGCGGGTCTTGTGACTGTGGACTTTCAAGGCATGGCAAGGGGCAAGAAATGAAACTCGCTCAGTCCTTTCCGTAACTACGGCCAGGCAGCGAGGCAAGAGAATTACAGCTCTGAAGCGCTCGTCTGAGACTCGACCGGCAAGGCAAACATACTGCGGCCATGCCGGATTTGGGTGAGGAAGTGCCACAGCACAGAACTGATTTGGCTATCAAGGGCTCTCACCTTCAAATTGGCGTGGTTCGTGCTCACGACCGAAATCCACTGAGACACTTCAATAGTCATTGCCGCTGTTGGCTCTGTACAGCTCCTGCAGCTGCTGTAGTGTTCCTTTCCTGGCAGGAAGAGCATAGCATTCCACATTAGCCTTTCAAATAATCACGTGGAGAGGTGAAATTGGTAGGTGGAAGGTTAAATGCATCTCTCTCGAGAGAGCACACCATCAAGAAACGACCCCGCTTTGCCTGGATGATCTCCTTACCATCTCCCCTCCAGGCGAAATGTCAGCATGTAAAAGCTCCTGGGCACTGCAAAGCCTCAACAAATCAAATTACGTCGGTGAAGATGTCGGGACAGCGGCAATGTAATATCTGATCTTGAATCAAACCCTCCCTTATCACCATGGCCCTGCAAACAAAAACATCGGCAGTGGCAACTGCCAGTGTGGTATAACTATAAATCAAAATGTCAGCAGCAACGACTACACCAATGCCAACACTCATCAAAGCAGCACGGCAGCACCACAAACACAATCACCACCGCAACCCCCACCCACCAGCAGCAGCAACATCATCTTGAGGTCCTCACTATATAATCTTGCACTCACCAGCATACTGAAGAATGCTACCTCGCACATGCATAAACACTCGACAATGCATTTCTAGCTTCTCCTCAGTCCACACTTTCAAACGACCAATCCAAGATCAACCAGCAGTCTCCTTCATCATGTCACCACTGGGAGTTGGGTGTACCGCAAAGCTCACGTCGCTCATGATGCTAGCCTGGAATTGTCATGGTGCGGTTTGTCCTCAACTGTTTGAGCTTGTCAGTATCTGGGGCCTGGTGGCACTGTGGTGCCTCAAAGTGATTTACAGCTTGGGCTTACCGCCTTACCACAGGGGAAGCTACTCGCTGCTAACTGACCAATGAGTCATGTTGGAAAAGCACGTGCCACACGTGCTACCAGATCTGCTAGGGCCATCCCTGCTTGTGCCATTTCACATATATAGCCTGCCTGGCCGAGCCATACCAATACATGCCCACACCATATATATACTAACCTTCGATCTCTGCGATTCTTAAGGAGACTCACCCTATCCACCATGCCTGGCTCATGCTTCGCCCCATATCAGCCATTGAACCCCATGAGAAGTCCTTCATAGGTTCCTCCTGGCAATGAGCAGCAACACACATCGTTGGAATAACCTCGCATTTATAATATAGATGATTTATAAATATATATATATATGGGAGAAAGCTCATTCGCATCGCTGATTGGATCTCTGCGTCCTCTGATCCAGGCAGGTTCAATTGACCCACTGGCTTCACCTTTGATGCTAGCATTGAGCAAGCTGCACGAAATGCCCCAGTGACCCACATTTCCCGTGCTATTTCCGTCCTGGCTATTGGGAAAGGGCACTGGCAAACATCAAACCACATGGAGAGTTGTATTTTGGTGGGCTAGTTAGGCAAAATCATTGTGCTGTCATGTCTTTCTGATTGTTTTCGTCGAGGTGATTGCACTTTGAAATGCACACATTTCGATCCTGTCCACCAACCCTGCCCGCCAAAGCACCATCCGACGTCCGCGACCACCATCAGCCTCTCTGCAGGGCTCTTGTAGCAACATCTCAAGGAACAGGGCAACCACGCAGCTGGAGCTCTTACTCAACTTCTTTTTTCGGTGAGCACTTGCACCCTTGCCTTGGTAAATTGGCAGGTGGGCACATCCCGCTGTGGCATCGGAAGAGGCTGCGGATGTGCCAGCATCATCTGGCGCTTCACAGTGTCCTGCCGACTGTATAGAATGAAAACATAAACTTGTCCTGCACTTACTTACTCTCGGCATCCGTTCTATGTGCTTAATTTGAGCACAGAACACCTTCCATAGAACAGCCTTCAATGGTAGCTAGGAGCTGCAGTGGAAAACACACAAATGGAAAACATGCCACTCACTCCCACACCTGGACACTTAGAATTTGAACACTTGCGATGATGCAGTGTCTATAAAAGCAAATTACTGGGCCGGAAGGAAGCTTATGAACAGTGGCTTGTTGCACGTACATGATCCGCGGTACAACAGTGCATTCGTGAGAGAACTGCCGCAAGCCCCATCGACTGCCAACTGACTTGACTTGGGCCATCTGCTTTAAGAAATCAGAAGAGGGGGCATCAGGTTTGATTAGTAGCGCAGAGATGCGCAGAGCATCTGTTTCCTGCAACATCTGTTCCTTCACCGAGCTTGATTAGTAGAGCATGCTCTCGAACATGCAATGTGAGTATGTGAGCACCTGCTAGCACATAGGTGACAGGAGAGGAGAGGTCAAATGTAGGGACCCTGGCATCCAATTGTGCCAAGTCTTGGAGAAAAAGCATCCAAGTCAATTCGACGATTTGAAAAGGAATGACCCCGAGCCTGTGGAAGCGAAAGCCGCTGTTGGGGAGACGAGCCGCGGAGGCCACTTCCCCTGGACACAAAAGTGCGTTTGATCGCCAAACTCTCTCACACTCTTGCTCTTCCCCGTGCAGGAATGCATGGGAATGCATGTGCAGGATACGCCCATGTTACAGCACCTGTCTCTGGGTGATTCGTCCAGGAAGACGGAAGAAAGGGCTTTGGGCGAAATCATCACCAAAAATGCTGGAAGAACACACAGGTGATGCTCAATAAGTGAGAGGTGTTATATATAGGTGTCGCAGCTAGGTCACCATGCCTGTGCAGAGCTGCATGGCTTCCGGACATGTCTTTCTCACTCTCATCATCACCTGAGGCTGAACCCTTGGCTGTGACACACATTTTGGGGGTTGGCGTAGCAATCAATCTTGAACCAAATGTGCCAGGAAGAGGCCTAGCTGGCCCAGTGCTGCTGCAAGAATGAGAGGTGTTCCAAGGACTCTTTAAACCATATATATAATGTACTTCCTTTTTCTAACCTCCACACACACATTCCAACACAACAACAGGGCGCACACAATACTAGCCAAGGCCAAGGAGACACAATGAGAAACCAAGGAGAGCACTCTGCATTAAGAGCTCCTTCATGGCTGCAGCGCTGGCGTTGCTAATGCCTCGGTCACTCTGCCGAAGGCGCCTATGGATCAATCAAAATTCGGATTCATGTCCTCCGGATTATATTTATGCAACCAGGGTTCAACTACAATTTACAACCTCAAACAAGACTCGCTGCAGTGATATTGAATCTGCGCAGTGCTCTGGAATCAGTGCATGCAGCATTGTTCAACCGAAATGTGGCTTGGACATGCTTGGACTGGTGTTGAAAGAAACTTTTTCAAACCCTCAGTCGACGCAGTCGCTGTTTTTTATGGATGATCTGGAAGCGAGGATGCCACTTTGCAATTATCCGACAACAAATGCAAGGAATGAGAAAACCTTTCAATATGGCGGTGTCCGCGGGTCTCCAATTTTTTCCATGCTGGTTCACAGCGATCCCCTCAAAGAAATTACAAACAGTCTAGAAACGGCCCTTGGTAAAAGGGGCAAGGTCCGTAAAATGTGTGGCAAAATATGGCAAAATGGTCTTAGCATTAGTACACGTAGACTTATACAGTTACATAATTAGTATATAAATTAGTAATGATCAAAAAACATATATAAATAACATTTACAGTACTCAGTACTACTCTCAGTACTCTCATCCGAGTGGCAGCTTGCCATGCTGCCACTTCTTCCCCTTGAGGCGCGGCTTGCACTTGAGAGCATGGCTTCGGACCTGGACTGGGAACTGCGAGTCCCACTGAGGTGATCAATCGGACTGCATAAATCCGCATGTCCCATTGTAAAAATGGGTGTGAGGAGCAAGTCGGCGTCTGTGAGGTATGGGCTTCCTTAGATTTCCTGGTATATAATGATGCGCCTTCACATCTCTTCATGCCCAATCTTTGTCAGTGAGTTTTCATGTGCCTCCAAGACTGCCATGAGGCCGTATCATCGAAATCCTCCTCATCCTGCAACATTTGAAAATAGGCAATCAAATCCTACAAGACAGTGGACGTGACGTGTTTGCCCGTTTGCGATTGGTGCCTACACGAATTTTCAAGAGACAAATGAACTAATTATATAATATGAACTGATTATGCTGCAAGATCTGAATCCAATACCCGATGACATTGCACAATGAGAACTAGAAGCGGAGGATCAAGACTCCTGATCGCCCACGCCCAACTTCTTCACAAGGCGCCGCCGGCTTCCGTCTTCACCGTTCCGATTCTCAAAGGCACAGGTGCCAAACATGTCGCGATTGACCTAGCGGGACCCGGCACCTCTTCTATGTTCGAGGAGAAACAAATAAGTCAATAGATTCTGCACTTTTGGCAGCAAAAAATGCGGAAATAGCCAAGGTAAAACTCATGACGCCCCTGAAATGGCCTTCTGGTCTGCAGGTTGGGCTTGATGTTGCATCCACAACGTGGGCTGTCCCCTGGCCAAGCCCGTGCCCGCAGTTCAGTTTGAATTATGCTTTAACACTTTTCATGTTTCCTTGACTCAAGGAGTTGACATGTTCAAACATACCTGCAATTGTCAAACCTAACCCGTATCATCTCGCGCATGATTCAGTGTGATGGTGCAGTTCGAATCTCTACGATGCAACAAATACAGTTTGGTATGCATGCTTGAGTTCTAATAGTATTATCTTCCAATATGGCAGTGGCAACTCAATCTGCCTGGCAGGCTCATCTGAATCTCCATGGCCTGGGGCTGACACTACTTGGTGAACAGCACAAAATCGAGAAAGCAGTGTCGCTGGACTCTCAGCTTTGGGGACAAAGAAACTCAGCTCACCCTGCTGGGGGTCCGGCCATGCTTTGCTGGAGATAGGGAAGTGCTGTCAATCCGAAGATTCTTGTTGGACCCTGAAGAAGTTTGTCTGTGAAAGCAGCTCCGCAGCTCTGGAGCACCTTGGAGTCCGTTCATGCCGTTGCATCAAATCATTGGTCATGACGATAAATCTCGGTTCTCTCAAAGTCTCGAACATGGTCAAAGGCTGCCAAGATCTGCCAAGGACAATTCTTCATGGCCAAGCGACGGAGTTGCGTTGTGGTAATCCGATCGGGTCCCGGCCCTGACCTTCGCGACGGCATTTCTAGGTTTGAAGGGCGCAGTGGCCAACAAAGCACAACAAGCACCAATTTGTTTGCTTCCGCAGCTCTTGGCCTTAAGCTGCTGTTTCTGTGGGTCATCTGCAGCTCTGTGGGCCTTAGCGGGTCGCAGCTGAGTCCGCGTTGGCCTAAATGATGAGGCCCAACACTGGGCTTTCTTCCTGCAGTTCAGGGTGCGGGGAGTAGAGCTCTACTGGCTCCTCATCCAAAGCGTCTAGTGACACCTGTAAGCAGCCGTCCAACCTTGGAAGGCAAAACAGTTGCTACAGCCGTCGCCGTAGCCTGGAATTTGGCTGTAGCGTAAACTGGATGCTTTCCAAAAAACTCAAGCGTTTGCCACATGGTGTAGTTGGCCTCCGATAGGTCCTTGATCTCTTTGAAGGGGATGATCTGCAAGCGGCTCCTAGCGAATCACACTTTCCTTTTTCATGAACCGTGGAATATCAAACATCCAGAATCCAGATCCAACTACCAAGAGCTTGAATACTCCAGTTGTCTTTGCCTTCCGATTGCAGTGAGCTTCGTCAGTGCCACTTCTAGCATCACAACACTTCAGCAACCAACAAAACAAAACATTCGGATTTGCACCAAGCGTCTTGGTGACTCCACCACTAAGCCAATAGCGGCGCCGGAAGACCAAGGGCTCGTGGCGCCCTGGCTCTGAAAAAGAAAGGCGCCAGTCACCTCGGTGCCAGGCCCTAGGTGGATGAAGCCTGTCTTCAAGGAGTAGTCTACATTACGACACTATAATACTTAATTACATTATATAATATACACAAATTGTGAAGATACGTGTGCGTCTCTGTGTGTATGCTTCTTGTTCCGATCCATGCGCATAATATGCCTTGATGACTTCACCTCTGTGCTGGCTTGAGCTATATTAAAGTACGGGCTGTGTCTATCGGTTTGAACTGTCAAGTTGGTTTCCTCCAGGGGGGCTCCTGTGCCGTCAGTGGCCTTCTGACCCTCAAAGGGAAACAGCTTTGGAATTACTCTGTGCTAGTGAGGGCCGTCTGGAGTCTGGAGACTACAGTAGCTGACCGATGAATTGCATGTGAGTCGAGTGGAAATGAGACGTCGGCAAAGCAAATGACAAGCTCATCTGGCCGTGTTACCCAAAAGGCAGCAACAGGTCAATCAGGTCAAATGCAATCAATTGCATTTCCTTTTGAAAATTGTGATCAGTGCTCTCCTGCTTGCAGGCTGGGCCCCAAGCAGTTTATTGGCACCTCCTCCTGACAGGGCATGACTGGTGATAGTTTCAAGCGTTCTGTAATTTCAAGAGTTACTGTAACGCTTGCCTGTGGGGGTGCATCATCTCCAACTTCTGCGCTTCCACCCTGGGATGGCAAAAGCAGCAAACGAGTATGGTCTGGGAGCACAGTAATTTGCAATCCTTGTCGCCACGGTTCAACACCCAAAGCGGGCACCCCAAGGCTGTTGTTTAAAATGCCTATAAAGGAAGAACAAAAAACTAGAAGCAAGGACGCTACTAGGGGTTCCTGGCCTTACTACTACAAGAAGCTATTAGGCTAATGGCTATTAGGGGCTCTTGGCATCGCTACTAGGAGCAAGGACGCAATAGGACAAGAAAAAGGGCATGAAGTGGCGTCTGCCCATCAGGGCCAAGCTTCAGGTTGATCTGCCGGAAGCAACCTAGGATCCAACAGCGCTGGCTTCCGTATCCCGAAAATCCGAGGAACACCCGGAAGCAGCAAAGCCAACAACAAAAAAACACCGAAATCTGGCGTTCCTGCGTCTTTGCACTTCAGTAACAGTCAGCGTGGTACCAATATATAAACCACAAGGCGTCATCCTTGTTTTCCACCAACCCCAGTCCGTGCTCACTGACGATCACAGGCATCATCATGACCATGGTACCGGGTCCTAAATGACCTCGACCATCCCACATTATGCACTCATGAAGAAAATCTATATAAGGGTGTTGTACTTTTAATTTGGGAAGTCTATTCAATCTGCTTTCAGTTTTTTTGTTTTTTCAAAACCCTCCGGTTCACATTCCCTTGCTAAATACAACAATTGGACGTCCTAAAAAAGAAACAGCTGCCATAGCGGGCAAAAGGCATTGGAATAGTGCAGGTGCCATATTAACTCCTAGCTAGTTACAGCAGTTTCGTGTCCTTAGCAGAGACACAGCTGTCGTAGCTGCAGGTTTCACATTCATTGCTAGCCAATTACAGCAATTTGGTGAAGGCTTCAGATTAATTCCTAGCTAATAACAGCAGTTTGGTGCACATAGCAGCCATAGCAGAGAAACAGCTGCGTAGCTGGCAAAATACATTGGAATACAGTAGTGCAGGTTTCAAGTAGGTTGCAACGTGGTCGGCAGTTCACAAATTCAATATCGCGGGAAGCATAGCAGAGAGCAAGAATAAGCACAACCATCAACCAAGATACAGAAAAAACACAACGACAGCAGCAAAAGCAAAAACACCCAAAGCAAGAAACAACGTAACATACATACAGCTACTAAAGCCCAAAACAATGCAAGAAGCTACAACAACAAATGCAATACAGTACACAAAATAGGAAAAAACGCCAAAAGCCAACAAAAGAACATACGACAAGCAAAACACATATCAAACGCAATAGACAACGACCGAGGCGATAGACAAAAGAGCAACCAAAAACAAACAAAAAAATAATAATGGCAAAACAAGCAGCAAAACAGAAAGCAAACAAAAATTGACAAAGCAAAAAGTAGCACAAGCAAAAAACAAAACAAAGGGGGCTTGTTGTGAGTTGCGCAAAATCGTTTCCGTTGAACGATCTTGGGATTTCTCTTGTTGATTGATTTTGCGCGCCCACAACAAACCCCAAACCAACCATATCTGCAACGTATCTGATGGCAATGCTGTTGAAGTACACAGGGCCAAAACACCAACAAAAAGCCAAAAAAAAACAGTGGTCTACACTAGTCCACAGCTGAAATCAAAGTAGTGTCACATCATGTTTCTTTTTTTGAGTGTCAGGCATCTGTAGGATCAATCCAGATTGTATAATCCTACTCATCTGACACGAAATGACCCTTCTGCCTTGACAATGTTCAAGGTTCTATGTCAGTTGTGTGTAGCTAGCTAGTGGTGCCGTTTGTAGGATTTTCGCGACCGCAAGAAGAAAAACAAATACTACCCCAAAAAAAGGAAACAAACTATATGCACACGTCAAGACAACCAAACACATTGAAGAGCATGTCGAGAAGAGGGTTGAAGAGTTGATTGCAAAAGGACTTTCAAGAAGGTCATCTCAGTATTGATGCAATATGATGACATTCACGACTTTTTGATAGCTTTCGATATGGATAAGTATGTTGATGGCATCATTATGCACAGTGACCACAATCCAAAGGAGAGAAACTTAAGGGATGCTGAAATATAGAAATAGAAATTTATCACGGGTATATTCAAACCGAACTTGACACTGACATACACTGACTATGACTATGCCACCTTTGAAGAAGCCATGTTTTTGAAACACGCTGAATGATGTTTTATGGCAATGAGCCCAGAATGAAGAAAATGCCCAGAGAATCCCAGAGATATATCAAAATTGGAACTCATGGGTAAAACTGCTGGCGTGTTCAAAACATTTGGAGCATCAGTTCAAAACACTAATAGGGCGGCACCCTTCAATAGGAAGGGTTCCAGCAGGAGAAACTTTTCCGGGCTTCACCATACGGGTATGAGCAAAGACGGCCGGCGTCCGACCCTGTCGCTCCCAGTGAAGTGCGAGCTTTCGAATGAGAAACCGTCGCCCAAGAGTTCAAGGCTCGGGGGCTCCCACCATCTCTTGTTGGGGGACATGGGCATGACCAAGCAATTGCTGCGAGACAACTAGTGGGTCAACATGTTGAGCCCAAAACTCTACCCAAAAGGTCTTAATACCAGCCGAAATTTGCCGAGGGGTTTCCATCAGACCATGGGAACTGGAGACACCAAGGATAGGGACAGCTTCTCAGTTCTTGAGCCACTTCCCCAAAGCCTTAGGATCGGTCTGCACGTGTTCTTGCCAGGGCTTCAAACGATCACGACGAGCGCGTTCCTGCTCGTGGTAAAGTTGAGTTTTGGCCTCATCGAGCTTTTGAAAAACCTGCAAAAGCTGAACGCTATAGCAGCCAAAGTCCGGGCCTCAGTAGTTTGTAAGTGAGAGTGATGAGACCGCAGCAAGTGTCGCCTGAGTTCATAAAGTTGCGCGACACGCCGTCGGAGCTTCCGAAGACGAATGGAGCCAGGCCCGCAGGGCCCAGTGCGCGGCCAGTACCGCTCACGCCACAACGGCGCTCGGCCTTTCAGGCCCGGCGACCTGAGGGCCCGAGCAAGTTCCTGCGGCGTGGCCTTTTGCTCGTCATGTGCGAGCTGAAAGGCTTGCTGAAACATCTTTTCCAAACACCTGAGAAAAAGGTGCCACGATTCATCAATATTCGGGGGAGAGGGAAGGGAAGAATGATCAAAACAATTCTGCTGGTCCCAACACTTTTGCAAAGCTTCACGCCACCATTGAGTGGTGGAACCGGCTGGTTTGTGCCAATCAGGTCGTGGCTTAAAAGATCCACACAGAAGATCCTTAGGCCTTAGGCGCAATAGGGACTTCAAACTCAACTCCTTTGTGATCACTGTAATGGAGATCCCCAAAACGGAGGTTTCGGATGAGAGAGGGTTGGGAGGTATGAGCCCAGTCAAGTTCGGCAAGACCGTTCCAACGGGAGGGGCAGCCTTGTTCCAGAACAGCTCCCTGAAAACTATCCAAAGTGGAAGCAATTTCGCTGTTCTGCGGCGTTTCGTTTGCATCACCCAGAGCCAGCCATTTGGCTGGCACTTCTTCCGCTATGAGCGCATGCTGTAACAGCTCAGCAGCTTGCATTTGTGCATCTTTAGACCGGTCCGGGGGGGACTAAAAAAAATTAAGCAGAAACCAGTCTTCAGGTCGATTACCAGCGTCTGGCAAGCCAGGGGTAACATGAACATGAAACCCAGATTTGCGAGCAAGCCTAGAAAAGGCGTCAGCTTCACGGGCAGAAAAACGGGTTTTTTGGAGAGCAATGACCAACGGCTCTTGGACTGCCGCACACTCTTCAAAAAAAAACCAGGCACCGTTGGGGCTTTGGCAATTCAAGGACACGTCTTGAAACTGAGCGCACGTCCCCACACGGCCGAAACGTGGTCCTGGCACCCGAGCCTCACCAACCCGCTCATTCCGATGTCCACCAAATCGTGCATCGGCTTCGTCACGAGTGGCCTGCCAAGTGTCCAGCAGCAAAGTCACATTGTCGCTGTTTGATGCGGTCAGTCGTCGCCACAGATTGCGCTGAGCAGAGGAGACCGCCCCACCTCTGCCAATACAGCGACTTGTGTCCCAGTCAGCATTACTGGCGCGCCAACAGGCACAGCAAGTCAACAGGGTTCCGGCGCGCAGCTTCGAACTAGTGGTAGGCCATGAAGACCAATTGGGCCGGATCACTCGAAGATCATGACCGCCAAGGTTCGGGTTCGGTAGTTTGCGAGCAAGCTTTGAAGCAAGAGCCTCAGACTTAGCTTGACGTTTGGCGACATGTTGAGGGTTATCCTCCGGTCGATTGCGGGCTTGCTGAGACAGCGCCCGCAGTACCTTAGCCGGCGTGACCTTTTTCCGTTTATGAGCAATTGCATAATGCTTCTGTCGTGCCGTCGCAAGCACATCGCCATCCTTGAAGATGGAAAGGAAGGTATTGATGACTTTCTGAAAGACACTGAGAAGGATGAACACACCATGATTTACAAAGAATATGATTTATCAAAGCTAACAGGCAGGATACAATCCTGACATCACGCTTTTGTTCAGACTTGAATTTCAGGTTCAAGCTGAAAAAGTGAAACATAAAGTAAATAATGGAAGACTCAATCAATGCCAGTGTAACAGTTGAGGCGGAGAAAACATATAACAACATGTAAAAGCAATGTTCTGTTCAACTATATAACAACTTTTAATACTTTACATAATGCCTATTATACGTACGGAAGTAGATATTGAAATCCTAAGCCAGTGTAGAACAATCCCACCGACTGGGACATGTCAGATCTTGCTTTGTAACAGGGAGGTCACTTGGAAATAGACAAGAACAAGGTTTACACTTACTGTTTAATGGAAACAACGATAATATCAGTCTTCATAGGCTTTGACAATGTATGGGGAGCCTACAATTCTAGATAAGCATCATTTCAATGAGATAGGAAAATCATGCTTGTTCTTGCTGAGGGTAGTTGATGAAATTGCATTGTTGCTTTTATAACACTATTAATGTATATACGGTATGTTTTTTTTTGGCCGATAAAGTTTAGATGTTGCATTGTAAGCAACAGCCCACTCTTGTGTATGGTGTTGAGTATTAAGGGTGCATACCAAAAAAAAACTGAAAACACCAACATTTCAGATAAACAGGAAAATAAAGACTGTCAATGTTAATAACATAGGGATGCTGAAAAAGGGAAGTAACAAGAGCCAGAAGAGTATAGATTTTGAAAGCTTGATTGAGGCAGTGTATTATCAAAATCTGATGGGAGGGAGGATGGAGTGGGTCTTATGATACTGATGCATTGTTGGAAATGATTATTGAATACATAGAGGAATTAGAAGAAAACGGTGGCAATAAAATAATCAGGTGGAATGCTTAACTTATGAGGGTGATGCGGGACAAAGTGATGTTGAAGGATTGCAAACAAAAATACTATATTCTAATAGTATTCGACAAACAGAACGTGACCAACGGTTTTAGATACAATAACAGATAGCTTTACCAATGCATGAATTGAAGACTCTAAGTCATAGTGTTCAAACTGATGACTTCATCATTGACATATCCTGCATTCTTCCAGGAAGAAATGTTTGGTGATTCGTGGACGCTGCACTTCTGATTGACGTTTAACTCGTGCATTAATCTCGATAAATCTTACAATCACTGTCTGCAACTCACAACAACCCCCTTGCAAACAAAAAGCAAAAGGAAAACAGCTGCCAAAGCAGGAAAGCAACAACAGCAAAAAGCATTTTAAAAAAACAACACGAAAAGCAAACACAACAGGACAACAGCAAAAGCAAAACAAGCAGCAGAAGCTCCTCTCAACTCACTGTCGTACATTTCCCGCGCACACCCAACCAAGTGCAAACGCAGGTGGATAAGTAAGTACTTGAGGTCACATGTCTTATGGACACAACTATTCAAAAAGAGATAAGCGGTCAAGATGGACTCTTGATGATTTTTGTGGGGGTCCATGCGGAATCCATCTGGCCAAGAAGCTTCACAAAGCGTTGCCGCAGGCGTTGGCTGCGTGCATTGGGGTCGCCCGCAGGGGCAGACGGCGTCAGTGCCTCCGGATTCTCAACTGCAACAAGGCAATCTAAGCGCTCGCAGTCCGTCTTACTTGGCAGGTCACCCACACGCCTTAAACGTTTTGAGCCCGCTGGTCAGTCCTAAAAATTGTTCCTCACAACCCCGCTCAAGTGCTTCTCTCATCAAGAAGCACGCCAGTGTTAATTGTCGGTAGCCGTGTGACCTTTGAAGGTGAAAGGTTTCCAACCAAA